CTCATGTGGCCAAACTTCTCTTCAGGAGATTAATAGCCATCACACTACCACCAGCAGTGTCTTCTCATTTTATTATTGCTAACCCGAATAGTTAACACTGAGGAGTACTTATTACCTACAAGCCTTCACTTCTGCAAATGGATCCTAAGGACACAGAAATATGTAGAAGGAGGTCCACAATAATATTCTTTAGTAAAGGAAATTTTGAAACCTATGAGAATGGTTTAAGTAAATTGTGATATTTACAAATTAAGTAAATTATGATAGGTTTAAGTAAATTATGATATCATTAAATATGATATTAAGTAAAATATTAGAGGTGGCTCATGCCTCTAATCCCAGCACTTTGGGGGGCTGAGGTAGGAGAATTACTTGAGATTAGGAGTTCGAGACCAGCTTAGGCAACATAGTGAGACTCTATCTCCACAAAAAATAGAAAAGTTAGCCAAATTTAGTGGCATGGGCCTGTAGTCCCATCTACTTGGGAGACTGAGGCAGGAGGATCACTTGAACCCAGGAGTTTGAGGCTACAGTGAGCTATGATGACAACACTTCAGCTTGGGCAACAGAGCAAAGCCCTGTCTCTAAAGAAATTAAAAATAAATAAATAATGGTCAATTTATGTAATAGAATGATACATTTATATAAAAGAGAATAAATGTATGTAGTATGTAGTAGAATGGATAATCCTTTTTTTTTTTTTTTTTTTGAGATGGGGTCTCACTGTGTGGCAGATGCTAGAGTGCAGGGGTGTCATCACAGCTCACTGCAAACTTGAACTCTGAACTGAAATGATCCTCCTGCATCAACATCCCAAGTAGCTGGAACTATCGGCGTGCCACCACACCCAGCTACTATTTTTGCTTGTTTTGTAGAGACAGGGTCTCACTATGTTGCCCAGGCCGGTCTTTAACTCCTGACCTCAAATGATCCTCCCAAAGTGCCGCAATTATAGGCATGAGCCACCGTGCTCAGCCAAAATTTCTTTAATGAACATGTACCATGGTTATAATCAGGGAAAAAATTATTTAAAAAAGGTTCGTAATCCTTTCTTTCTCAATATTCACCCCAACATTCGGTTGGCAACAAAAGCTCAGAGCCTTGTCCCTCTGTTGTCTCTGCCATGATAAAAAAAATTATAATACAGGTGAGAAAGTTATGATTAAGCCTATATAGAGTGTTTTAAGTACTATGAGTATATAAATATGATCATGGTTGAAACCAGTGGTAACCAATGTTTACATTTCCTTTCTTTACACTCTTTTGTTTTTCCTGGTACTAATAATGACCTCAATTTTAGGGGGAGGGGGATGTGATAGGGATAATTTAAAGAAAGGGACTCTGGCGTGGCTGTTGGAGTTCTGTTTCTTGACCTGAATGGTTGTTACAAAGTTGTTTGTCCCGTATTCACTAAGCTGCACTTCTGCTTTTTATGGTTTTTCTGTACCTGTGTTTTATTTTACAAAAAAGAAAATCATGCATCAAGAACGACCAAAGAGCCTTTTAAAAAATTTGCTTAGTTTTCTTTGAATGCAAAGTTAAGTCTTTACATTTTTGTAAAATAAATCTTCATACAACTTTTCATACAGTTTCCCACACAAACCTGCCACGTAATCTATCGGTTCCCTTGTCTCTGGGATCCCACTGGATGCTTACTATCCTACGGTTCCAGTCTGGGCTGGTTGCTCTCTAGGCCTGCTGCTGACTGTCAGCCTGCTGCCCCTCTTCACCCCCTTCCTGTGTTAGATCCCCTTTCTCCTGGATCTGCATTTTCTTTGTTTACTCCTTTGTTTTAGTGAAACCAGGGTATACGTGAGATACATTTTTTGAGGCTCTGCATGTCTAAATGTCTTTATTCTGCTCTCATGTGATGGCTTATATTATAGTTTGGCTGGGTATAGAATTCACAACAAAACATTTTTATTCCAGGATTTTTGAGGATAATTTTCATTGTATTCTAGCCTCAAATTTTGTTACTAAGAGACTCTCTGCCATTCATATTCCTAATTTTTTTTGTCTGTTGTTGGAATCTTCTCTTTAAACCTAGTGTTTTGAAAAGTCATAATTATATGACTCAAGGTAGATCATTTTCATTCATGGTGCTAGGTACTGAGAGGGCCTTTTTATCTGGAGGCCTCATCCTTGGTTCTGGTAAATTTTCCTGTATTCTTTCTTTGATAACTTCTTCCTCTGAATTTTTTCATGAGGAATTTTTTCATGTTAGACCTCCTAGATGGATCCTCTAATTTTCTTATCTTTTCTCTACTATTTTCCATCTCTTTGTCACTTTGTTCAACTTTCTGAAAAATTTCCTTTACCTTTAAACCCATTTACTAATTTCTTTCTGCTGTCACATTTTAAAATTTCTATAAGCTTAACTTTGTCCTTTTTTATTGCATCCTGTTCTTATTTCATGACTGCAGTACTTTCACTTATTTCTGAAGAGAACACTTCTCTGAAGTGTTCTCTCTCTATTGTCTGTTTTCATTGAGTTCCTCTTTGTCTATTTGTTTTGGTCTCTCTTTCATGTTGGACCTTTGTCTCTGATGTCTGTGATCCTTATCTGCCCATTCATATTTTAGAGTGATGCACTAAAAACTAACTGCAAGCTCTGCGTATAAGGTACTGCTTGTACACGAGTGCACTTTGCTATAGGACTATAGCACAGATGACCAGCTAGTTTATTTCAGAATCTGTTGGTTTGTTTGGTTTGGTTTGTTTCTTCAAAGAATCATCTTTCAGTCTCCAATCTCCTGCCAAGGAAGAAGGAGGAGGTGAATCCTGGCTGCCAGTCCTGGAGTTTGCTGGAAAAAGCAATGGCTGGATCTCACTAATAACCACAGTCTGTCCCTTTACCCCCCAGATGCCCAGACAGCCCCCACCCCACGTGCCCACCTCTGTGTCTGGTCTCCCCATGTCCAGGGCTTCTCTGATTCAATGTCCAAAAGCAATGTATTTATTGCCCTCTGTGGCAACAGAGGAGGAACCAGGCTGTAAGAGTGGAGGGTGAAGTCAGCTTAAAAGTCTAGCTGGGGCTCACACACAGATTTTTAACCAACCCCTCTCTTTTCAGTACCCACCTAATCCTACCTTCCTCATACCTGGTTCCTCCAATTTTTGATCCTTTCTGAAATCACCTGGGTGCTTAAAGTTTGACTCACATCCACTCTTACCAGATCACTGATGCTGTTCCCCCATCTGCAGCCTGTCTTCATGTATCATGATTTGGGGTTACCGATACATCCTAGTTTTATTTAAAACAGTGACAGAGCTTTTATTCTGCTTTTGGAGTGATTCTGAGACAAAGGGAAAGAAATGTCTTCATACCACATTTAAGATGCCTCAATCTCTGCTGTGGTTTTTAATATAACTGTGATTATATTTTTGGTTTTCTGTATCCTCTAAATTTTCTGCAGCGAACATGCATAACTTTAATAAGAAAAAAGTGCAAAGAAGTTATTTAAACACAAAAGGATGCAAGAAAGCCTGGAGCACCCACTCCTGCATCTTCCTCACTCTCCTGCGGAGCCAGCCCGGCCTGGGAAGAACCCCCTGCCCTTCATGCCTCAGCTCCCCAACACCTGTCAGGGAGCACCACACCTTTCTTGTCAGGGAGCACATTCCGAAGTTTCTCACCTCTGGGCCAGAGCCGGTTACTGAATAGCCTTTGCCAACTATGCCAGCTCTGTGTGGGCAGTGTGGATCCCCTCATGCCTTCAGAATGGTTACACCTCCAAAGCTACAAGTTTTTATGAAGAGAAGGCAGAGTGTGTGTGTTGCCATGGCACATAAGGGTGTCCGTCCCGCCGATGCTATTCCAGTCAACAGGCGCTAGCTAGGCCTTGCCTGGGAATTCTCCATGACCATGTCCTACAGCCCGTGTGAGCCAGGCGTCCTCAAACTATGGCCCGAGGGCCACATGCTGCCCCTGAGGACATTTATCTGGCCCACCGGGTGTTTTTGCCACTGCTGCCTGTCCTGCTTAGCAGCCGACTCGTCCTGGGCCCACAGTGCGCACTCTCCAACGGTCTGAGGGACAGTGAACTGGCCCCCTATTTAAAAAGTTTGAGGACCCCTGGGTAAGCCCTCCATTTAGACCTACCATGAGTGGCCCTTCTGAGGCAGGCATAGCAGACCCTGCAACACTCTTGAACTTCCCTGTCTCTACCAGGCTCAAGGCATTGTGAGACCCCAGGATGTAAAATGCCCTGCAGGTCCCCACAAGCTCTAGAGTCCCTGGGCTTACAGAAACCAATCAAGAATGCCCAAGCCACAAATATTTGTGTGCTCCCTGGGCTCTCTTGGATGGAACTCCCTTGGCTCCAGGACACTGCCATTCCAGTTGTCCCAGGTAAACACCGGGATTCCAGGCACGCTCCTTCCTCCCTTCCAGGCATCTTCGAGCTTCAAGCACTCCTCCCTCCACTTGCCAAGAACTCTCACCCCCTCTGCCACAGGGATAGCAGGCTTTACAGCCTGACCTACAATTAGATTCTGCGGGGAATCCTACAAGACTTGATCCAGCCAATTAAGCCAGGAAATTGCTGTCTAAATTTAACACGTCCATCAATCTCATCCAAAATGGCAGCACTGATGTGGTGGGCTGAGGCTTTGAGGTTATTTTTATTTAATGTAGCAACAACTGCAATAGGCTTCTCCCACCTCACAGATTTGCTTACTTCTCCATTTTGGTTTTATTAAACTCAGCAGTTTTAAATATCCCATAAAAGAATCCTCATCAACATTCTCCTGCTGGACTCGAGAATCTTGATCCTGTGATCCTGGAGCTGTGGCCTGGAAGAGACGCTGAAGGAGCGACAGAACTCTGTCCTGTTGTGTACAAACACCCACACATGCAAAGATATCTATTAAAGTCAAACTCTCCTTGGGTCATTCCCTCCACCTTGGGAAGACCATCTGATACCCCAGTGCCTCGCTCAGATGGACTCATCCATGCCAAGAAGAGACCACACACATATACACAAAGACACAGTGACATTAGGAGACTGGATATCATCTTTAATTAATAATGCCACAGCCCGATTCCTGTGTTGCTGTGGCAGCTTGTGATTGTGACCGTGTGTGTGTGTGTGTGTGTGTGTGTGTGTGTGTGTGTGTTCCTGAACAGACGAGGGGCCAGCAGAGACTCCCAAGCAGGTCTCAGCCAACAACTCTGTTGAGCAGCAACTGGCAGACAGTCTCCAGAGAGGCACGGTGGCCAGACTCCTGCCTCCTGCAGCCTTCAGCCTCCTTTTCTCCCGGGCCACCTGTCCCGCACTGAGGGCAAGGCTAAGGCCTGCACCAGCTCAGATGAAAGGGCTTCTCAGCAAAGCCCAGCCTCCAGTCCCCAGTCCTCACCGCCTCTGACCAGAGGGATGTCCCTGGGTGAAGTACGGACTGCCAGGCAGAGGTGAACAACCTGGGCTGGCCTTGGTCCCCTATGTCACATTGGGGCAGCACCACAATGGCCCATCCCTGGGCAGAGAATCCAGAGCTACTGGGCCATTTGACTAGTTCCTTTCAGAGATAATCAGGATTTAGCCAAGGCCATTCTTGGGGCCAGCCAAAGAGAGCCAGACTCAGCTCGTGGCGGCCACAGGAAGTTGTTTCCAGGTCAAACCCAAGAGCCTGCCCTCTCGCCAGCTCCACTCTCCGATTCCTCACACGCCCAGCAGGTCTGCAGCCAGGCATGGCAGGGGAGGGTCAGCGTGATGGTGGGTCACAAGGCGGCCATGGGAGACCTGGGCTGAGCTGGACCCGCAGCCAGGTGCCAGCCTGAAGCCAGCCCTCTCCCCCATGGTCAACGCCAGCCAGAGCTCTCTCAAGCCAGGTGTGACCCCCACGGGCAAGGCAGCAAGTTTTTGGCTTAGTGCAGAGGGAGAAACCAAACTGGCTCCACTGTCCCATCTCCACCTGCTCTGTGCCTTAGGAAGGCAAGGAGCCCAAGTCCCCAGGACGGTGGTATCAGCTGTTGGGGAAGCACCGTTGTCCAGGGGAGGCCTCAGGCCGGAAGCTGTGTTTGTTCAGTGGGCTTGGGTAGTAGGTGGTCGTGTACACATTGGTCTGCTGCAATGGGTAGAAGTTGGCTCTGTCATCAGGGATCAAATTATTCTTGTTTAGGGTCTGCAGGAGGAAGACAGAACCAGAGAAAGGGGTGAGGGGAGAGACGAGGGAAGGGGACAGGCCAGGGTGAGAAGTCCACAAGCCAGCCAGCAAGGGAACAGTCAGACTGCTGTTGCAGTGCTCTGTTCCGCCACTGCTCCGTCCCAAGTGCCCAGCCCAGGTACGCCCAGCTTAGGGCCAGCACCCTTGCCCCCTGCCCCCTGCCCTAGGCTTCTAAAACAAGGCTCCCACCTTGAACTCCATGGGTGTGTACTTCTCGTTCTTGGGGGTGCCCCCACCCTTGTAGTGCAGGTGGTTGGGGGTGGCAGGATGGACCAGTGTGGACTCCTGGGACTGACGCTGGCAGTGCTGGCAAGACAGGTACACTGCCAAGGTCAGGAGCCCAGAGCCCAGGAAGCAGGAGACACCCGTGGCCACCAGGTGGATGAGACTGAACCCTGGGAGGAGAGGCAGTAGGTAAGATAAGGGCCACGTGTCTTCAGGAGAGACACCTGACTGCCTCCCTGGCAGCAGAAACAATAGGAGGCTCTGAGACCTACAGGAAAGGGCTTTGAGGCTAGAGCCAAAGGAACTGGTGGCCTGTCACTGGAGGCCTTTTTCATAGGACAACCTGTGGCTTGAGTCAGAGGTGGCAACCAGAGGGTCTGGAGTCGGATGACTCTTCCTTGGGTACAGACTGTTGACAGCCTCCTAGCTGGGGGACATGGATGGGACTGCCCAGACCACCCTACACGTGGTTCAAGGCAGCGGGGGACCCCGAAAAGCATGGCTGTCTGCATCAGGAGGTGGGAAGAATCCAGGCTTTGGAGCGGGGTGCAGGAGGGGCAGAAGGACGCTGTCACAGGTGGGGCTGGTTCCTTTTACCTCCACAGCTGGTGGCCTCCTCCATGCTGGAGGCAGGCAGGATCACTGCAGGAAGACCAGTGGACAGGGTGTCAGGGGCAGAGAGGAATGGAGAGGAGAGGGGAGGGGCCTTCCTGGGCTAGGACCCAGGGTCAGCACAGGCTGGAGGGCTAAGCCCTCCCCAGACCCCACCCCTAAGAAGGGCTGGCTAGTCCACTAGGTGAGGACTGCCAAGGCCCCAAGTGTATGGACTGAGGCAAAGATGTGACAGCTCTCTTGGCGTCTCCCACCCGCGACCCTCAAAAGACACAAGCTTCAGAAGGAGGAAGTTGGAAGCTCAGTATGGGGAGGGTTGGTGTGAGGTGCTGCGGGAGGACCCACCAGGAATCTCGCTGTAGGGGCAGGGGCGGCTCTGGCTGCTGTTTCCAGCACAGGCACTGGGCCCTGGGACGAGCTCCTCACAGCGCCGGCTGCGGCTCTGCGCTCCGTCCTCAGTGCACGCGCTCCACTCAGACCACAGCGACCAGCCTTCTGTGGGTGATGGGCTGGGATGAGGTTAACTGCCCAGGACCCCCAGGTGGAGATAAGAAGGCCCCATGGTGCTGCCCAGCTCTAGTCAGATGCACCTAGTACCTGGGCAGGCCTGTGTGGAACATAGCGCCTCCTCCGTGTGCAGCCCGAGACAGATGTCCTCACCCGGGGAGGGCGCGGGGCTGGTGCAGGAGCGTGTGCGTTGATAGTGGCCCCCACCGCAGGAGGCTGAGCATGGGGACCACGAGGTCCAGCAAGACCAGGCACCTCGCACTGCAAGGGCATGGGTTGTGTGAGGGGCTACAGGGGCAGGCAGGGACCAAGACAGTCTTCCATCCGCCCCAAGCCAGGCCACTCTGCCCTGGGCCACACTGACCTCAACAGCCACTCTACCCCACCCCACCCCACAGTGCACTGTTATAGAGTGCCCCCTGGCAAACCCCCCAGGGGCAGAGGAAATGCAGACAGCAGCAAGGATACCCGGAGGGAGAAACCAACTCCACCTCCATCCAGGCTCCTTATCTATCCCACTGGGAAAAACAAAAAAGTGACAGGGAGGGTGAGGAAAGGCCCTACTCCTCCGGAGAAGCCACTGCGTCTGGAATCAGGAGGAAAAATCGCTCTGGGGTCCCTTACACAGAGTTGGCAGGGGGAAGAGGTCACCTGGGCAAGGAGGTTTCTGGGTAGAACTAGGGTCTCTCGGATGAAGGGGTTGCCAGGGATTCCTTCGGCGCAGGGTTACCTGGGCAAGCCTGGGGGTTGCAGTCCTGGTACTCCGCGGCGTCGCCCACGCAGGGCAGGCCGCCGTTGCGTGGCTCCGGGTTCGTGCACGTTCTCTTGCGGACGCGGAAGCCCAGCTCGCAGTCCCGGGAGCAGGACGACCAGGGGCCCCAGGCGGCCCAGCCCCCGCTCACCGTGTGCGGGGAGGCGCTCCCGCTGCGCAGGAGGTCCTCCACCAGGGCTGCGGAGGGGCGCTGCCTCAGCGACGGGGGCGCCCGGGGGACGCCCGGCGGATCCCCCACCCCGCCCTCCGGGCCTCCCCCGGAGCTCCCGCGACCGGACTACCCACCCCGCCCCCGCCACTTCGGGGGTTGCCAGGGAGGGTGGCGCGTGCGGAGGGCGCACGGCTGTACCGTCGGTGTCGCAGGCTCCAGAGCCATCCGGCGGGCAAGTCCTAGTCTCCGTCCTTCTCCGGCCAAACTGCAGGCCGTGGGGGTCGGGCAGGGGCGCGCGGCACGTGAAGCGGAAACGCTGCTCCTGCCGCGCCCCGCCCTGCGTCACGTTCACGGGCAGCCACGGCGTCCACGGCGTGTTGCGCCGCACTTCGGGGCAGCCCTCGGGATTGCACGTCTTGAACTCCTTCGGGGTGGGAGCCGGGGTGGTGTTGGGGACTGTCCTCCCCTTGGCTGGAGCCCCCGAGGCCCGCCTGCGCCCCCGCGCCACACCCCGCGCCCCGCCTGGTGGCCCTCACCACGCCGCAGCCCGGGCAGGAGTTGCCGTTCTCGCAGGTGCGACGCCGCGACTGCACGCCACCTCCGCAGTTGCTGCTGCACTTGCTCCAGGAGCCCCAGGACGACCAGAAGATGGGCACCGGGCAAGGCGTGTTCTCGTTACAGAACCTGGGGGTGCAGTGGGGAGGGAGGCGTCACCCCAGGGAGAGGTCCCCACCTCCTCTTAACAAGAGGCCCCCTCCCCTGCGGCCGCGCGGAGAATCCAGGCCACTTTAACTGGGCCTGGAAAGTCTGGAAGCTCAGGGCAAGCTTGTGCTGAGAAACCCCAGCCACGCCCTCGCTCACCGCTCCTCCCGGCTCTTGCCCACGCAGATGCGGCCCCCGTGGCGGGGAGCAGGGTTGCTGCAACTGCGCTGGCGGACTTGGAAGCCGATCCCACAAGACGTGCTGCACAGCGCCCACGATGACCACGGGGTCCACGCCCCATTCCTGGTGGGGTGGAGGGGACAGAGACAGATGCCCCTAGCTTCTTAGATCTAGTCTTCGTCTGAGCAGATGGCTTTTGTATTGTTGCCAGGAGGGGACGGACAGTGGCACAGAAAATATCAGCTCCTAAGCAGGTCATCTCAGGCACACTCATTCATTCATCCCCTCATTCATTCCTCAAGCACGTATTCTTCTTCCATATAGCAGGCTGTGCTCAGGGCTAAGGACACAGAGACAGGACATGGCCCCTTCTCACACCAGCAAAAGGACACACACTTTAGAGAAGCCTCGGTCACCTTTCCAATGGGCAGCCTTCCTTTCAACCTTGATTGTCCAATCTTTGCACTCAAACCACATTTTCTCCTACTACTGCACATGCTTTGCTCCAACCTCAGATACGACTCACTTTTTTATATATATTTTTAGTTGTCCAGCAAATTTCTTTCTATTTTTAGTAGGGGGAGGGGGGTGTCTCGCTCTTGCTCAGGCGGGTTTTGAACTCCTGACCTTGAGCAATCCTCCTGCCTCAGCCTCCCAGAGTGCTAGGATTACAGGCGTGAGCCACCGCGCCTGGCCACTCTTGCCTACTTTGACTCCAATTTTCAAATCTGGACTCTACCACTTAGAGGCTATATGACCATGGACGAGTTATTGACACCTTCTGTGCCTCATAGCACCCTTAATTTCAAAGTAAGGATAATGATTGTATTCCTATCCCATGAGGTTGCTGTGAGGGTTAAATTAATAAGTGTATATGAAATAATTATTTTAAGAGTGCCCAAATCATAAGTTAGTTGTTATAACCATTTTATGGAGTCCCCAGGTAGCCAGGCAGGGTGCAAGCTCTGTACAACATTATCTCCTGTAACCCTCACTGAGAGAAACTCAGAGTGGTTAGGTGGGTTGGCCCTGTTCATGCCTCCTGACTAAAGGGATACACAAAAGAGCCAAGGGTTTCAGTTTTTGGTGTCTCAAGGGTAGAATTTTTCTCCTCTCTTGAAGCTCCAAGTACAACCCCCAGCAGCCCAAGGGGGCCTTCCAGACTCCCTGGAGCTAGTCTCTGATGTCTCTTCTTCTTCTTCTTCTTTTTTTTTTTTTTTTTGAGACAGAGTCTCGATTTGTTGTCCAGGCTAGAGTGAGTGCCGTGGCGTCAGCCTAGCTCACAGTAACCTCAAACTCCTGGGCTCAAGCAATCCTTCTGCCTCAGCCTCCCGAGTAGCTGGGACTACAGGCATGCGCCACCACGCCCAGCTAATTTTATATATATATATATGTATATATATATATATATCAGTTGGCCAATTAATTTCTTTCTATTTATAGTAGAGACGGGGTCTCGCTCTTGCTCAGGCTAGTTTTGAACTCCTGACCTCAAGCAATCCACCCGCCTCAGCCTCCCAGAGTGGGAGGATTACAGGCGTGAGACACCGCGCCTGGCATGATGTCTCTTCTTACCCATCCCATGCTGTACCTCTTGTTTGGGACAGCAAGACTCACTGAGGCTAGCCTTTGGGAGTGACTCCCATGCCTGCCCAGCCTTCCTCCATGCATCAAGAGCCCCAAGGCAGAAACTTCTCTCCCACTATTGTGGCAACTCCCTCAGGGCTCAGGTTTCCTGCCTCAGACATTATAAGCCACCTGTCCAGTCCCTGAAACACCCCTGAGTTGTTTCCTTCCCTCGGCAAATACCTGGGTGGGGTATTTCCCCAGTTCTCCCCAGCCCGGTCCAAGGCAGACAGCATGCAAGCCCCGTCATCACATACCTAGAGCAGTTGGCGATGTGGATGGCCGGCCCCAGGCAGTCGAGGCCCCCACAGCGTGGTCGAGGGGAGTCACAGGATCGGGCCCGACACAGGCAAGAGCCTGAGTTGTCTCCATCTAAGTGCTCACATGGTTGCCATGGTGACCACGGGCCAAAGCCTCCGTCCCGTGTCACATTCCGAACCTGCAGACACGCATATGGGGCAGGATCTCTGTCACCAAGGTAGCGCCAGGGAAGACACAAGATTCCAGGGGACTTGGGGAATACTGGTGGGAAGTCAGAGCCTTAACTGAGGGACAGGTCTGAGGTGGGGGCGCAAAGGGATTCTCACAGGACACGCTGTGATGTTCTGGGTCCAGAGGCTCATGTTGGAGCTGTCCTCGAGCGTGCTGCAACGTTGCTGCTTCCCGTCCCAGCCGCAGTACGGGTCCCGTGCCCCCAGGCATGCCCTGCCAGACAGAGGTCCTGGGACTCAAGCCCGCTAGCTCCCCGGCCTCACCTGCATCTCAAGAACACACCTGGACACTCTCTTCTGGGCACCTCGTTCCATCCAGTGACTCTCCACCATAGTAACTAAATTCACTGAGCGTAGTAACTAAATTCACTTACTGTGTGTAAGACATCACTTTAAGCACTTCACAAGCATGAATTAATTTAATTTAATACAGCAACCCAATGAGGTAAGTCCTGTTATTCTCCCCATGTTATATGGAGGAAACCAGAGAGCTGACCAAGGACTCGAACCCTCATCCTGCAGAGAGGGCACACTTAACCAAAAGATTGTGCTGCTTTCTGTGAGTATGGGCCCCCGTGCTCCTCACCTAGGGCCACAGGAGCAGACGTGGTTACCAGAAACCCAAAGAGGTAGTGCCTCCCTGGCAGGTGCTGTGAATGTAGAGAGATGGAAAAGGCCCTAAAGATGGTTTGGCTGAGCAGCTCTCAACTCTGGCTGCACATTAGAATCACTCGAGGAGCTTTTAAAAAATAGTAATTACCTGGGCCCGCCCCAAACAAGAATCACTAGGGACAGTGTGGTTTTTAAAAAGCTCCCTGGGTGATTCTAGCAGGAGCCAGGATGCGAATCACTGGGATCCATAAAACAACCCTTTCTTTGTACAAAGGAGAGGGGAGAAAGGGGTTCCTGAGATCACACAAATTGTATATGGTGGAGCTTGGGCCAGAAATAAGCTTCTTAACCACACTCCCCCTTCATGCTTCTGCCTCCCACTGGAGCCTGTGTCTGATTTCACACACTGAGTGACTATGGGCCCATCCTTCAAAACACAGCACAGGGTCAGGGGACACCTGGGGACAGTCCCGGGTCACCTGTGGCCTCCACAAGCCTGTGCTGCTCAGTGGCAGGAACAGAGTCCAGTGCTCTGGCATTATGAGAATTAGCTCAGGCTGCCAGGACAGGCGTCACGTCCCAGTTCCTCCTTTCCTGGCCCCCAGGGCTGGTCTCTCTGCAGTGGCCCGGAAAAGATAACGATTCACACGCTGTTACATGCTCCAATGCCACTGCTTCTCATAGTCTAGAGCTCCTTTCTTCCGTTTCTCCTTCAGATTTATTCATGTAACATATATCCTTTACTTTTTTAACAAAAATATTAAATCTCTGCTAGTAGGACTTCAAAGGAGAGAAAAGGAGTCTACAGGGATTATGGAATACGGATTTGCTATTGCTATATAAAGAGATTATCAGATCCTGGGCCAGAAAGAGGGTCCCTCCAACACCCGGAGAGCCCACTGCCATCCGAGGGGATACCTGGATCCCTACTGCCTCCTTCCCCCAGCTCCCGCCCCTTTCTGAGCAGGTCTGCCAGAGAGGGTCTAGAGAGAACACTGGGCAGGGGCTCAGAAATGGAGGTTAGAAAATAGGGGGGCTTGGGAGAAGGGGGAACTAGACAGAAAAGAAGGTAGAGGAGCCTAGAAAGGAAATCCACAGCAGTATGTGAGTTTTCAGAGGGATTTTTCCATTGAACAAAGTAGTCAAGGATGCCTAAGACTAACGGGATACACAAAAGAGCCAAGGGTTCAGCTTTTGATGTCTCAAGGGTAGAATTTTTCTCCTCTCTTGAAGCTCCAGGGACAACCCCCAGCAGCCCAAGGGGGCCTTCCAGACTCCCTGGAGCTAGTCTCTGCTGTCTCTTCTCATGAGTAACTACAGGGAACAGCTGCCTCCCTGAATCAGGTGGAGCCACATTCACTGCTTTGGCCAAAGACCACTTCAGAGCTTAAAGAGCAGGGAATGCTCCCTAGAAAATGGAAGCTCCAAGCAGAATAGACAGTTAGAATGTGTCTCTGACTGTAGAAATGGGTGGCAGTTTAGAGTTCTTTTCATAAAAGGAGCCATCAGACCAATAATATATCACCATGCCTTTTTACTGCAGAGTCTCAAGCAGCCATTACAAAAGGGAACAGGTCCTTTCCCTGAGAGAGACAGATGGGGGAAGGTGCAGCAATAGTCGCAGGATGGGAGCTGTCCAAGGTGGAAAGGGCCTCTCCAGAGCTTGTAAGCGAGTGCTTGAGAGTGGGCCTTCCCTGTGCTTGCTCACAGGCGGGCAGTGGGGAACTGTGAGCGGGATGGGGTAGAGGACACTGCGGCCCAACCAGGGGCAGAGCGAAAGGCATGCTGGAAAGAGGAAGTGTGCAGTTCCTACATGAAACACTGCTATGTAGCTAGTCAGTGCTTCATTCCCTCTGCTTCTCCTCGGGGGAACCCTGGTCCCTCTCTGGCCAGACCAGGACCTTAGTTGTGCCCTGCAGGGCTGAGATTTGTCTGACTGAAAGAAGGCAGTGGGAGACAAGACCCTGGGTTCTGGGCAGAGGAGGGGACTTGAAGAGGCCTCTACTTACCCACGCTCATCCTCCTGCCAGCTTTGGAAGGAATGGGAGGATTGGGACTTGAATCCTGTGGCTTGAATTATGGGAAAAGCATGAAATGTCTGTCCTAGGACACAGTAAAACCCTGTAACAACCCACCCCATGATAGCAGAAATTCTGATAAAATGGGATTGGCAGTTGGCACTCAGGCTCCTGGAGAGCATAGCTTGGTGGCTGCATGTACTTGCTCTGGTCATTTGATTAACCTTGCAATAATGTGACCTTGCGTTTTATAGTTTTTGGATCCACCTATAGCTTTATGGCAGGGTTTTTGCTGTAAACATCAAGGGTTCTTATCCCAAACTCAGGAAATCAAATAGGACGAAAGTTTCAGACTCCAAACTGACTTCTTTCCACCTTGCTCCAGGGAAGGAGTGCAACAGGCCCCCTGCACAACCTCTCTATCCCCTCTCTGCAGAACGTGTGAGTGGAGAAATGTCCCAGCATCTTCCTTTCCACTGCAGACCCCATTCCTTCAGACTGGGCCGAGGCCCACACTGGCTCACTGGTGTCCATCTGCCCTGGGACAGTGCTGCTCACCCCTGTCTGATCCTTTCATGCTGCCCATGGCTCCTCCCCACAGCTGCACCACCACGTCAGTGCCTAGAGCCTCAGGATTCAAGTCCCAGTCCTCCCCTTGGCCTTCCTAGCTGGCCTCAATCCATTTTCTAATTCCATTCCTCATGCCTCTCCTGCACCAAACTCCTCTCAAGCCAGATAATCAGTCAACTGAATGAACAGTCATGTGCAGAAGGCCACTCTGTGCCTTGGGCTGGGCAGGGCTCCCTGGTGAAGTATAACAAAATACCAGGACACTGGGTTTGCCTTTTAAGGATTTACAACCTCCTAGACCACAAGCCATGTGTGAAAGCCCGTGACTCACTGCCAAGCCGTACTGTCTGTATTCAGTGTTGCAGATTGCGAGACTCCAGAAAGCCTAGGAGGCTGGGGGACTCCTAAATGGGTTTGTGGAGATTACAAAGGAATAAACATACTAGCTACCACTTGTGATTCGCTGAACTAGGCACTTCCCAATCCTTATAATTCTGCGTAAATTAAATTAAACATCATTTGCTTCATCAGATTTCTCCCCATTTTCCTGATGAGAGAGCTCAAGCTCAAAAAGGTGGAGTAACTTGCTCAGGACCACACGGTCAGTAGAGGGAGCTGAGATGGAGCCCAGGCGTGTCTAATTGCACGGAAGTCCTTCCCGCTACACCCCACTGCCTCCCCCACACCTCTGACACTGGCCGAGCGTCCTCTTCCCAGCCAGAGGGCTGGAGGCCTGAGGGAAGCAAGTGTTCTGGGCCTATTTCACCTTGCCTCCTCTCACACCACCAGCCCTGCAAAGTGCCTCGAACATGGCAGGGCTTAGTAAATGCGCGGTGTGTCGCCGCCGGAGCCGTGCGTCAGGGCTGCGGGGAGCTGGAGTGTCCGCCTCTGCCCCTGCCCCCTGCGGCTGCCACACCAAGCCCCCCAGGCCTCCCCTCCCCTACGGGCCTCTGCCCAGTCCCCGCACACTCCACTGGGGCTGAAGATCAGCGCTGGCATCATGGATACCATTTGTCTTCTGAATCTTGAGGACAGATGGCACAGCCAGGAGGACTCTCGGCTGCAAAGGCCACAGAAGCTGAGGCGGCAGTGGCTATGCCAGCTTTTGATTATCACGCACACGAGGGGATGCGGCCCAGGAGAGCCTTGAGTGGTAGGAGTCTGCGCTACATTTCCATTTGGCTTGGAAGACGCTTTGGTTTTCCCCTAAAACACTGGTGTCACAGTTGTCAAACATGCGAATCCATCTGAAGCTCCCGCAGGGAGACCCGACCTCAGCAGCAGCGGGAAGGCAGCACGACGCCCCCACGTGGCTGCCCGCCGCCCTACCCGCACCGCCCGCTCTGCCTCTTCCAAGGAACGAAGAGGAGCAAAAATGGGAGCTGACTCAGAGCATCACCTCCCATGGCCCCACTTCTGGGAAATATAAGCGCTGTGGCCTCCAAGATAAAGACCTCTCTCTGAACCGAGGGCACTGAGAATAAACCAAGTGGGCTAGAGATGGCTGACAGGCCCTAACTATGGGGTTGACAACAGGGACGACAACAGCCACCACAATTTCCCCCAGGCAGTGATAAATCCTTTATGCAGATTATCCCCATTAACCCTCACAAAAATCCAGCGAGGTTCAGAGAGGCCAAGTGACTTGTCCAAAGGCACACAGCTGGAGATAGTGATGGGAAGCGACTTGGGCCGCCCTGGGTCCAGAGCCCGCCCCTAAAGGGCCACCCCCGCGGCCCGGCTTACCCCTGGCTGCGGTAGGCGGCGCAGCGCTCCAGCGGCACGCGCAGCACGCCGTCGCTCAGCCCCACGAAGAGCGCGCGCGCGCTGTGCAGGATGCGCAGGCTGCGCAGCGGCTCGCGGCGCGCGGGGGGCAGCACGTGCAGCTCCTCCAGGTAGCAGCCGCGGAGGCTGCGGCTCGCCGTGGACAGTGCCTTCAGGATGGTGCCCGACTCTGGGGGCGCGGGGCAGACGAAGTGGCCTTGAAGGCCCAGGCAACTCGCAAGCCCCGCCCCCGCCCCTCGGCCTCCTCCCCACCTGCAGCCCAGGTTGGGCCGGCCGGCTCACCGGTGCCGATGTAGAGCACGTGGTAGAGCGTGTCCTTGGCCTGCACCAGGTCCACCACGAGGTGTGAGAAGCGCACGCTGTCCTGGGTGACACAGGGCTCGGGTGTCACCGGCTGCACGGCTTCGCTCATCAGGAAAAGGCGCTGCGCGTCCTGCAGGCTGCGCTCCGTCAGGTTCTCGTTGGGGCCAGTCTCAGGCAGGGTGCCGCACTGCAGCGGGGAGCCGGGTCACAAGGGCCCAGCCGCCCAGCTGCCGCGACCCCCACCCCCTCCTCCTTATTGTAACCAGGGGCCACGGGCAGACGCTGATTCTCCAGCATCCCCGCCCCTAATATCCCTGCTGGGTCCCCTGAAGCCTTTCCAGGGATGGGACCTGACCACTCCTAGCACCCAGACCTACCAGGGCTGGGGAAGAGGAGGGGGGAGAGCAAAGGGTGCTGGATTATCTAAAAACAGATCATCTGAGTGTGGACAACAAGTGTTCTGGGTTTTATGCTGTTGCTATAAGTGCCCCTCTCCTGTGTCCCTGCCAGCTCAGAACTTTCTTGTTTGTTTGTTTGGTTGGTTGGTTTTGAGACAGAGTCTCACTCCTCACCCCAGGTAGAGTGCAGTGGCATCATCATAGCTCACAGCATCCTCACACTTCTGGGCTCAAGCAACTCTCCCGCCTCAGCCTCCTGAGTAGCTGAGATGACAGGCAGGCCGTGAGCCTCGCTAATTTTTCTTTTATTGGTAAAGATAGCTCAGGGTTCTTATGCCTTCTAAAGCAAAGCTGGAAGGCAGTCACCTTTTACTGAGCACCTACTACATGCCAGGCATATCACCCCTTGCACACATCTATGACATATCATCCTTTATGGTATTATCCCTGGTTCTGGGTAGGGAAAAAGAGACTCAAGGAGCTTGGGTGGCTTGCCCAAGGTCACACAGAGACAGGCTAGATCTGGGTCAGGATTGCTGGAGGGCAAAGCCTGAGGTCCCTCCCAGCTGCACACCACCCCTGAGCAGGAAGGTGGAGGGACATGGAAGTCAATCAGCAGCAGCCTCCTCTGCCAACTCATTCTTTTCCCATCTCCATCACAGGACGGGGGATGCTCACGCTACCGGTGGCAGGGCCCTGACCACTCCCAGCACTCAGAGACCCTCCAGGCATTAGTACCCATGCTGGACACACGATGAGCGAACTCCAGCTAAAATCCCTGAATTCTGGCCAGATATCTTGTGTAGTGCCTTCCTGGTCCCTTAGACTATGGAGAGCTGAGTCCCCGGCCCTGCCTCCTTGGAGGTGTGGGCTCACACTCAGCATGCTCCCTTGCTCTGCCTCCCCCCTTTTGTCCCCTTCTCACTCACAGTCTTAGAGGTTACCACCCTCTTAGGGAACCATAGAAGATCCCAGGGATGGGTGTAGACCAGGAGGGACAGGTCTGGAGTTTGTCTGGGCTAGACAGTTGGGAACCAGCTTGTGGCTGGCAATCTGGGGGGAAGGCAGTGTGTGAAGAAAGGGGAAGGCAGGGAGAAGCTGTACCTGGAAGTTGGGGGTGGGGTTGGCGATGGGGAGCCAGGCAGCCCTGGGGTTCTCCTGGTAGCGAAATGGCCCACTGAAAGCCTGGGAGATGGCACTGAGGTTGAAGGCGCAGACAGCAGACGCGGCGATGCTGTTCCTGAAAGGCAAGAGATGGCGGACGCTGCCCTCCTGCAGGCCTCGGCACCCTCCTCTTAAACCCACGCCAGCCGTCGTGCCCGATCTCCATCACTTGTTAAGCACCTACGATGAGCCTGGCAGCTTCCGCACCATGCAGGTGTCTCAGGAGGAGGAGATGTGGTCCTCACACTCTCAAACCCCTGGGAACGGCCCACTGACAAGGAGCCCCAGCGGATTCTGGGCTCCTTCCTCACGCCCGTGCCTTATCCGGTGGGAGGCCGAAGTACAGTCAGTGGCTTTCTAGCATTTTCGTCCGTGGCCCACAGTAAGAAATGTATTTTACCTCACAGCTCAGTATAACGCACACATCCACAATCAAGTTTCATGAAACAGTACTTACCCTCACTAAATATGTTATACTCCCATTATTTCTTTTATATTCTGATTAGTTTATCAAAAAGCTGGCACCAAACCACTGATTTATGCTGCAGCCTGCAATACCCTGAGACCGGATGGCCTCTGGGACCCTTTCAGTCACAGGAACGCGTTTCCATGAGTCTGATGGGAACAGTGCACAGAGACGACACCACCACACCAGAGGTTTCTAGTCCTATCCTTTGCCTTTAGTCCCGCTCCCATGTTTCCATCTCCCTCCACCTCTGCCTGGCCTCAGCGCCCCCGGGCTCCCCAGGACGCTGCAGTGTCCTGGTGGCCCGTCTGCAGCCTGTCTGGTCTCCCAAGCCATTCTCCACACAGCGGCAGAGGGAGCGTTTCCAGGGGCACCTCTGAGCCAGTCTCTGGCCGGCTTCACACCATCAGTACCTTCTTCTTGCTCTTGGGATAAAGATCAAACCCTTTAGACAGTCTACAAGGCCCTTTGGGATATAATCCCCCTTGCCCTACCCCTTCAGCCTCCTCCCCCGTCTTTCTCCTCCTCGCCCTTGAAGCTCTTGCCACACCGGTCTCTGCTCAGGTCCTGGAACATTTCTTTCCATCCCAAAGTTGGGCATGTGTCATTCCCTCAGGCTGGAAGGCTCTTCCCCCCTAGTTAATTCCTGCTCATCCTGTAGACATCCCTCCATACAGGACACCTTGCCTGATTCCCACCCCTCCGTTCTGTTAGAGGCTTCTCGGCACAGGCCCTTCCCCTTTGTAATGTTTATCACTGTGACAGTTGGTTGTTTCATATCCACCATTTCCAAAAGGGAAGCTCCTTAAGGACAGGGCCATGTCTGGCTTTGCTCCCTGTTGCCCCACTCCCATCAGGACAAGCACATGGCATGGATAAGATGTGCAATAAATGCACTATTTACAGTCCACACCGGTGTCACCAGTTTTTCTTGATGTCTCTCCCGCTACTCCTGCCCGCTGCTCCTGGCCACCCACCTCTGGTGCTGAGGGCTGGGAACACGAAGTCTCAGCTCAGGGCCTGTGTGATCTGTGCTGTGCGTCTGCCCCCTGGCTCAGACAGCCTCTCTGCTCCTGCTCCCTGTCCACTCACACTGTCCCCCCTGTAGCTAGCCTGGCCCTCATCCAATGCCTGCCACCCGGGGCGCAAGGTGAGCAAACACACTCTACGGCTCATAGGTTTCTAATGTCCTTACAAAGAACACTGCACAGCGAATGCTTTCCTTGGTCCCCCGTGCCCATTCATCATTCTCTATATGAAAGTCACCTGGCCAGGTTAGCCTCTGCACAGGAGGAGGTGGTGGGTCTCATGATCTCGGTGAGGGTCACCCCTCCTCACACCTAGAAAGCAAAAGGCTCTAATTCCAACCAGCCTAGGTGGGAGGTGAAGGCAGGACTGCCAGAAGACTGCTGGTCAGACTGAGCAGAGTCATGCAGTCCTGGGGTTGGAAGGGACCTTCAGGAATCCCTGCGGAACTTCCCTGCTGGGCCCTCCCAGGCTGCCTCCCCTCATGCAAGGGAGATTTTCCACTTCCTTCCTGGAGCTACATGCCCGCTCCTTTCACCTGCCTCACTTCTGGCCTACATCTGCCCTTCCTAGCCAGCCAGAACTAGCACTCACCCCTCCAGAAGGTAGGGGTGAGCACAGAATCCTTAGACGACCAGTGCAGGAGGTATGACAATTGCCACTTACGGATGAAGAAACAAGGCCTCAGAGAAGGGGCCTGCCCGTGCCCACCAGGCTGCACAGCCAGGCCAGACCGAGTCCGGACGTCACAGAGAAGGGGGTGGCAGAGGGCAGGGACTCACACGTTGGTGGTGAAGACTCCGTAGATGAGGTCCTGCTCAGGCAGATGGAAGGCACTCTGCAGCTCGTTGTAGTAGAAGGGGACCTCGCCCGGGCGGGAGCAGTTGAGCCGGGCCTTCATGAACGTGGTCCACGTGTCCTCCAGTAAGAACCGGCCCCCCACATCGTTCTTGCACACGCGGGCCACCCGAGAGTACACGGTGCGTCCACAGTCATGCTCCACTGCGTTCTCACGCAGGAAGAAGTACGCAAACAGCCCAATATCATAGGCTGCCACGAAATTTGGCTCTGGGGGCAGAAGAGGAAGAAGGGGCAGGGCAGGCCAGCGGGGAAGGGGGCAGAATCGGGAGCACTGGCTACTCCAGCTTTCCCAGATAGGCACCCTGACACTCCTCCCTGCCACCGCCAGCTCGGTGACCTGGGGGCTCTAACTAACCCTAATCCCACCTCCAGTGCAAAGTGCAGCTGAAATGACAGTTAACATGTGCTACTGAGCACTCACTGGGAACTAGACGCTATCCTATGTGCTTTCTATGGATCAACCCATTTGATTCCCTGAACAACCTATGAGTTAAGTCCTATGATTATCCCCATATTACAGATGGGAACATTGTGGCACAGAGAGGTTAAGTACTTGCTCAATGCCCCACAGCTAGTTAGTGAAGACACAGGATTTGACCCCAAAAGGCAAGAAATTCTAGCGGACCCTTCCATAATGTCTTCTTACCCAGAACTGTTTTTCTAATCAACTCCTAACTCTCTCTCTCCCCTAATAGTCTGCCCTCCATCTGTTCTGGGTCTTTAGGACATTTGTGATTTCATCTGGGGTCTGTCTCCAACATGCTCTGGTCTTTGGGCAAACATCTGCCCTACTCTGGACCTGTTCATCACTTGATGAAGCAAGTGTGAGCCCGTGCAGAGGTTAGGCAGAAGGAGGACGGATGGGGAGGTCAGGGTGGGCTGGCGAGGTTGGAACCGGGACAGCCCCCACCCCGGCGCTGGGGCCTCCTTACCATTGAGCCACTTGGAGTTATACTGGGCAGTGCGAAGCGGTGGCCCGCTGCCCAGGCTTCGGTAGATGGCGGGGTCCCGGCCTGAGAAGTCGATGACAGTGGCTGCGTAGAGCTCCCCCTGGGAGGAGATGACAGCTGTGGAGTTGTGGCGAGGGTCGTAGGGGCAGCGGGCCACACCATTGATCTTCTCAATAGTCCGGCTGAGGTTCCCCACCTGGGCACGACAGGGAGAAGGGGACCTTTTTCCCTGAGGCCCTGGGGGCTGCCTGTTCTTTCCACCCCGAAGTTTCGTGTCCTCCTGGGGCCCTGGTCTCGCTGGACCTCGTCCCCTCTGGCGTCCTCCTCACTGCCCAGCCCACAGTCCCTGAGGGAGGCCGGGGTCCTGCCAGGAGCCCCATCTGTCTCCAGCCCCAGTCAGGACCGTCCAGGGTACATTGACCAGTAAAACACAGAACACCCCATTAAAGTTGAATTTCAGATAAACAACAAATAATTTTTCAGAATTAACTTGCTCTAAATACTGGATGGGACATATTTATGCTAAAATATCATTTGTTGTTTGTCTGAAATTCATATCTAACTGGGCATTCTTTTTTGGTTTGGGTTTTGGGCTTAGGTTTATTTTTTTGTTTGTTTTTTTTTTTTTTTTTGCTAGATTTAGCAAACCCCCTCCAAGGCTGTGTGCCTGGGGAAGAGAATCCCCCCTTGGTGTCCCCTCCGCCTGTCCCCTGGCCCAAGCCGCCCCACCTGTCTGCTGGAGCACACTGGGGAGAAGGCGTTGGTCCCGCACATGAACACCTTCCGGCCAGCGACGATTAGGACTCGCACGTAGTTCTGACACTCCTCCTGCGGCGAGAAGGAAAGTGACAGAGGGGCACAGTTCTCCGGGTGTGACGCTGGTGTCTTCCCCTCACACCGCCATGTCACGGATTCTAGCAAATATTCTAAAACACTCCCCTCTACCCCAGATACCCCCCTACATCCCCTCCCACCAAGGCCGCCTCTCCGCGTCCCTGCCCACGCGGGTGCTCAGGACACCCGGCCGCAGGGCTGTGTCCTCGCCGCACAAGGAGCGGCCAGCTCACCCAGGGCAGGCTCTCCAGCAGGGGCCTCATGCCGCCCACACCGTGCCCCTCCATCCCTGCAACCACAAGCCTCCGGCCAGCTCCAAGCCAGACCCCTGGGACCAGAGGCCACATACCTCAGTCTTCCCTTTGCTTTGGCAGGAGCGGCGCGTGTCCTCGCTGGGGGCCCACTCTGTGGCCTGTGGGGGGAACACACAGACATCACGTGGCTGTGCCATTGGCTGTCACTCATCACCAGGGCAGGCAGCAGCCGCTGTCTGGAGCAGACCGGAAGCCGCGTGTCAGGGACAGCCTGCAGGGTGAGGGTTCCTCCCACTACATCCTCGTGGACCTGGGAGGGCTGCCAGGTCTCACCGAGCCCTTTAGCGAATGGACACCCTTCAGCCCAACACTCCCGCCACCTGCTTGGGGCAGGGTGGATAACAGCTGCCGTTGCGTCATCATCCCCATGCAGCTGTCCTAGGACTTGCCCACTCCCTCCTGCCCCAGGCCCTCCAGGGAGCTGGACGTGGCCAAGAAAGACCTTCAATACCACCCCAGGCCCTGAGTGCGAGACGGGAAATGTATTTCTGTTATATGCCAGATGTCCCTCCAATGAGTAGGAGGCAGAAAGGGAGGAAAGGCTAGATTTTGCAAACCTTAGAGGAGATTTAATTTTCCCACTACAACCCTGCAAAGTGTTTTTTTTTTTTTCTTAACAGATGAGGAAACTGAGGTTCTGGTGACTTGCTTAAGGTCACACAGCTGCTACGAGGAAGATCAGGGACTGGAACCCACATTCCTCTGATTCCAAGGGCTATGCCTGTTTTTTCTCTTTGCACCATTTCCGGGGCCTGGGACTTTTCCTTTCCTGATTGCTACCCCCGCCCACGCCGTCTACACTTCCCTCTAGTATCCCCTGTAGTGTCACTCATGCTTTGTCGTTGGGTAATGTGTTTGGGGACGCAGCTTTCATGCGGGGACCCAGAGGACAGTACCAAGTTCTCGCATGCCCACTGCATTAGGAGAGGGCTGCGCCCACCGGGATCCCCTCCTCCCCTTCATCTAGCTGCCTCCGCTCTCTCTGCACCGTGGCTGAGGGAGGAGTGATGCCCTTCATGTCCAGGCAATGTCAACAGCCCTGGTGTGGCTCATTATGTATTTCTGGGTCACATCTATAAACATGAACAGTCTACCTGTCCTGGGAGAGGGAGCCCTGAGCCAGCAGCTCTCCCATGCAAATGGAAAAAAAAAAAAAAAAGCCCACCTGCTTTTAATTTCTCACAAAGCTGCCTCTGGCCGCGCAGCCCCTGGCTGCAGAGCTCCAGGGCCGGGTGTGGGAGGGAAGACAGGGCCGGGATGGGGAGCAGCAGGGCCGCTCTCTGCTGTGCTGGCCGCAGCTGACCTGCAGCCAGAGATGGTTGCTTTGTAGCGCAGAGCGGGGCTGACTCCTGCAGGCCCCGGATTCAGAGCTGGGTGACGAGTTTGGTCAGCGCTCCTGTCAGACCTGTGAGCAGACTGGCCTCATCCTGTCATGCCAGGCCTGGAGCTCAGGCGTCTGTGACTCCCAGACCTTGGAAAAGGGCAAATGACCTCTGGCGTCTGGCCACAGAGCCCCAGGGTACATCCAGACAGACAACTGAGCATGTCATACTCAGGACCCATCAGCTCCCAGGCGGAGCCTGATAAAAGAGAGGGACATAAATAAGACATCTTGGGGCCTCTGGGGGCAGAAAAGAACAGTGACCCACAAGCACTGCAGACGCCCAGCCGAAAGCTCTGGACAGCGGGCACTTTGGGAGGACTTCATGGGCAAGGGGTCCTCACTGGGGCCTTGGGATCCCTGAGCACAGGGGCATTTTGAAGCGGTCCGCCTTGTTCCTAAGGGGATGAGATCCCACTCGGTGGCGGTGTGTACAATAAATAGGAATTAAAGTTATGCTGAGCTCAGCAATGGGACAGGCGCTGCGCCAGGGACTTGACACACTTTCTCTTGGATCCTCACAACAGCCAGTGAAGCACATGGCCTTCTGCTCCTTTTCCAGGTGAGGAAACGAAAGCCCAGAGAGGTTGAGCAATTTGCCTAAGGTCACATAGCCTGTAAGCCACGAACCCAAGGTATAGACCCAGACAAGTGACACCAGAGCTAAGCTCCTCTGCTACATCCTGCAGCCTCTCATGGTGTATAGACTTGTCAAACCAAAGTTGGACCATATGGCCCGAGAAGAATATGTATATTTATAAAGATAACAGCACAGAACAGGCTTTTTTGAGTCATTTTATTTTTAATTTATTTCAAAAATTATTTTTATCAAATGATATACAGAGTTTAAAAAGTTTAATAGTATAAAAATTAATAAAAATCCCACTCCTTCCATACCTCAACCCCTTTTCCCAAGGACAATGACTTCCAACTCTTTTAGTGTTTCTCTGTGTTTTTTAAGTCAATTTCTCAAAACTGTGTGTCAGTCTCAGACCTCATCTTTTGACCTCCTGTTATGGAAGTGAAGTTTTTTCCCCCATAGCCCACCCCCCAGCACACATGCCTTTCTCCTCTTCCCATCCTCCCGTTGGGGGGGCATGGGCAATATAAATAACCTTAACACCTATACCCCCATAATACGCTAAAAGAAAAAAAAAGAAAAAAAATCAACATTGTTATTTACATTATTGTAAATACATAGAAATTGTTCACTGCTACCAGTTAGCAGCCCAGATTTCACTGAATGTACACCACCATCAATCTATAAGATGAACCACGAAGAAAGAAAACATGCTGTCAATCAAATTCCTTATTAATTTAATTTTTAATGTAAACATATTGTAAGTGTTCTTACTTAGACATACATGTGTATCATATATCAATCTTGTACAAACAAAAAAGAAAAATGCAAGTAAAATTAAGTATCTTTAAACCTTCTTTAAATTCAGTGTTCATCTCTTCTGAATTACTTTTCTATTTAGAGTTGTCAGCGCCCACTTTTGTTGTTTGTTTAGAGTATCATTCTCTGAACTCCCCAGGTGTTGGTGATATGATAATTCTTTTATTTATTTATTTTTTTGAGACAGAGTCTAACTCTGTTGCCCCAGCTGGAGTGTAGTGGCATCATCATAGCTCACTACAGCCTCAAACTCCTGGGCTCAAGTCACTCTCCTGCCTCAGCCTCCAGAGTAGCTGGGACTACAGGTGCACGCCATCACGCCTGGCTAATTTTTCTATTTTTTGTGGATACTGGGTCTCACTATGTTGCTCAGGCTGGTCTCGAACTCTTGGCCTAAAGTGATCCCTCCTGCCTCAGCCTCCCAAAGTGCTAGGATTATAGGTGTCAGCTACCTTGCCTGGTCAGATGCAGAAATTCTTAAAGAGCATCCACTCTGGTCTCCATGATTGCCATCCACCCCATCCTGAAAGTCTGGATGCTGGCAATTTCTTGGTCTTACCAGAAGGTGCCCACAGAAGGTTTTCTGAGAAACCAGGACTCATATTCCTTCATATAACCCTAAAATGGGTTGTGGACAGAAATGTCAAGGGGCTGCTGTGTTCTGGTCCGAACACCAGGAATAACAGCTGAGTGCACGCCTGCACAGGCAATGAATGACAAATCAGGATTGCGGCTGGCTAAGAGCGACTGTCATGCCTTTAACTGAAAGACAGGTCCCAATTTCAGACTCATTAAAATGTGAAAACATGTGCATCTGAGAATCAGTGAAATATTCATATTCTGACAAGGTTTCTTTTCTTGAACAACTTTTTGTTTTTCCTGGGTAATTGTCTTGATTTTCTTCATTTGCTAATTTTGCACGTACCTATCACTGATTTTTTTCCCATATACTCAACAGGTCTTACAAATCCTTCCCAATATCGTTTTCTATCTGCTTGTGCAAATTATTCAGATAATCTATTGGTTTCCGCCTTCTTCCTCATCCCCTAGCCTTCCTCCTCCTGTCCCAGCGAACGGGTTGCTCTCAAGACCTCCTGCTTGGCTGGTGACTTGGGACTCGCCTTCTTTCCCCTGCTGAGGCCTGAATCCCGCGTTTCCCTCTTTCTTGATGTACTTGCTTATTTTGCTGGAGCACATCTCCAGCATCTTCCTAACGTGGTGGGCCAATGTTTTAAATTCTTGCATGCCTGATTTGTTCTCTCTTTATTCATATTTGATAGTTTTAAAACAGAATTCTAGGTTGAAATAATTTTCACTGGGAATATGAAAGGCATTTCTTTCTCCATTGTCTTCTGGCATTCAGCATTGCCACGCAGGAGTCTGATGCAATTCTTCCTCCCCAGCCTTCGTAGTCATCTTTATTCTTTTTCTTTTTTTCTTTAGGCTCTGGAAACTTTTAGGCTCTTCAGAATTTCACACTGATGTGCCTTAGCATGGCTCTCTTTTGGGAGCTCACCCAACCTTTTCGCCTTTTGGCCTTTTCATTAACCCAATCCACTGCTGGCCCTCGGGCATTGATTCTCTAGTTCTCAGATAGTTCTCCTATTTTTCATTTCTTGGTCTTTGTTGTTGATCAAATTTCTGGCACATTTTTTTCTTCAACTTTATCTTCTAAGCCTTCAATTCAGTTTTTATTTTCTAAAATTGAATTTTTAATTTCCATATTTTAAGTATATTGTTTTATTTTTACTTATTTTTATCAAATTATCTCTAGTTTTTAAAAAATTTCTTAAATGTAATATTTTCAGCAGCTCTTTGATAAAACCTGGGAAAATTTATTGCTTTATAAATAAAATAATTTTAATATCTCTCAAAAGATACTAGTTTTTTAATAATTAATTTTGTAAACAAATGTTTTGTTTTGTATTGTTTTGAGACAGAGTCTCCCTCTGTTGCCTGGGCTAGAGTACTGTGGTGTCAGCCTGGCTCATAGCAACCTCCAACTCCAGGGCTCAAGCAATCCTTCTGCCTCAGCCTCCCAAGTAGCTAGGACTATAGGCATGCGCCACTTTGCCCAGCTAATTTTTTCTATATATTTTTAGTTGGCCAATTAATTTCTTTCTATTTATAGTAGAGACGGGGTCTCTCTTGGTCAGGCTGGTTTTGAACTCCTGACCTTGAGCGATCCTCCCACCTCTGCCTCCCAGAGTGCTAGGATTACAGGCATGAGCACCCAGCCAAAAATGTTTTCTTGCATTGTCTCTTTTTTACAGTTGTTTTTTTTTCATTCTGTTTGCTTGTTTGTTTTGGCCTTCTCT